AATCTCTCATAATCCTTTGTATTTCTGCAGTGTCAGTTGTTACTTCTCCTTTTTCATTTCTAATTCTATTGATTTGAGCCTCCTTTTGTTTCTTGATAAGTGTGGCTAATGGTTTATCAATTTTGTTTATCTTGTCAAAGAACCAGCTTTTAGTTTTATTGATTTTCGCTATCGTTTCCTTCATTTCTTTTTCATTTATTTCTGATTTGTTCTTTATGATTTCTTCTGCTAACTTTGGGGTTTTTTTGTTCTTCTTTCTCTAATTGCTTTAGGTGTAAGGTTAGGTTGTTTATTTGAGGTGTTTCTTAAGGTAGGCTTGTATAGCTATAAACTTCCCTCTTAGAACTGTTTTTGCTGCATCCCATAGGTTTTGGGTCGTTGTGTTTTCATTGTCATTTGTATCTAGGTAGTTTTTCATTTCCTCTTTGATTTCTTTAGTGATCTCTGGGTTGTTAAGTAGTGTGTTGTTTAGCCTCCATGTGTTTGTTTTCTTACATAATTTTTCCAGTAATTGATACCTAGTCTCATAGCTTTGTGGTCGGAAAAGATACTTGATATGATTTCAATTTTGTTAAATTTATCAAGGCTTGATTTGTGACCCAAGATATGATCTATCGTGGAGAATGTTCCATTAGCACTTGAGAAGAATGTGTATTCTGTTGTTTTTGGATGGACTGTCGTATAAATATGAATTAAGTCCATTTGTTTAATGTATCATTTAAAGCTTGTGTTTCCTTATTTATTTTCATTTTGGATGATCTGTCCATTGGTGAAAGTGGGGTGTTAAAGTCCCCTACTATGATTGTGTTACTGTCGATTTCCCCTTTTATGGCTGTTAGTATTTGCCTTATGTATTGAGGTGCTCCTATGTTGGGTGCATAAATATTGACAGTTGTTATATCTTCTTCTTGGACTGATCCCTTGATCATTATGTGGTGTCCTTCTTGGTCTCTTGTAATAGTCTCTGTTTTAAAGTCTATTTTGTCTGATATGAGAATTGCTACTCCAGCTTTCTTTTGATTTCCATTTGCATGGAATATCTTTTTCCATCCCTTCACTTTCAGTCTGTATGTGTCCCTAGGTCTTAAGTGGGTCTCTTGTAGACAGCATATATATGGGTCTTGTTTTTGTATCCATTCAGCCAGTCTGTGTCTTTTTTTTTTTTTTTTCCTGTGGTATGCCAGCCTCTCACTGTTGTGGCCTCTTCCGTTGTGGAGCACAGGCTCTGGACGCACAGGCTCAGTGGCCATGGCTCATGGGCCTAGCCACTCCGCTGCACGTGGAATCTTCCCGGACCGGGGCACGAACCCATGTCCCCTGCATCGGCAGGCAGACTCTCAACCACTGCACCACCAGGGAAACCCCAGTCTATGTCTATTGGTTGGAGCATATAATCCATTTACATTTAAGGTAATTATTGTTATGTATGTTCCTATTACCCTTTTCTTAATTGTTTTGGGTTTATTATTGTAGGTCTTTTCCTTCTCTTGTGTTTCCTGCCTAGAGAAGTTCCTTTAGCATTTGTTGTAAACCTGGTTCGGTGGTGCTGAATTCTCTTAGCTTTTGCTTGTCTGTAAAGCTTTTAATTTCTCTGTCAAATCTGAATGAGATCCTTGCTGGGTAGAGTAATCTTGGTTGTAGGTTTTTCTCTTTCATCACTTTAAATATGTCCTGCCACTCCATTCTGGCTTGCAGAGTTTCTGGTGGAAGATGAGCTGTTAACCTTATGGGGATTCCCTTACGTGTTACTTGTTGTTTTTCCCTTGCTGCTTTTAATATTTGTTCTTTGTATTTAATTTTTGATAGTTTGATTAATATGTGTCTTGGCATGTTTCTCCTTGGATTTATCCTGTAAGGGACTCTCTGTGCTCCCTGGACTTGATTAACTCTTTCCTTTCCCATATTAGGGAAGTTTTCAACTATAATCTCTTCAAATATTTTCTCAGTCCCTTTCTTTTTCTCTTCTTCTTCTGGGACCCCTATAATTCGAATGTTGGTGTGTTTAATGTTGTCCCAGAGGTCTCTGAGACTGTCCTCAATTCTTTTCATTCTTTTCTCTTTATTCTGCTCTGCAGTAGTTATTTCCACTATTTTATCTTCCAGGTCACTTATCCATTCTTTTTTCTCAGTTATTTCTGCTATTGATCCCTTGTAGAGAATTTTTAATTTCATTTATTACATTGTTCATCACTGTTTGTTTGCTCTTTAGTTCTTCTAGGTCCTTGTTAAATGTTTCTTGCATTTTCTCTATTTTATTTCCAAGATTTTGGATCATATTTACTATCATTATTCTGAATTCTTTTTCAGGTAGACTGCCTATTCCCTCTTCATTTGTTAGGTCTGGTGGGTTTTTATCTTGCTCCTTCATCTGCTGTATGTTTCTCTGTCTTCTCATTTTGCTTAACTTACTGTGTTTGGGGTCTCCTTTTCACAGGCTGCAGGTTCCTATTTTCTGTAGTTTCTGGTGTCTGTCTCCAGTGGCTAAGTTTGGTTCAGTGGATTGTGTAGGCTTCCTGGTGGAGGGGACTAGTGCCTGTGTTCTGGTGGATGAGGCTGGATCTTGGCTTTCTGGTGGGCAGGTCCACATCTGGTGGTATGTTTTGGGGTGTCTGTGGCCCTATTATGATTTTAGGCCGCCTCTGTGCTAATGGATGGGGTTGTCTTCCTGTTTTGCCAGTTGTTCAGCATAGGGTGTCCTGCACTGTAGCTTGCTGGTCTTTGAGTGGTGCTGGGTCTTGGCCTTGAAATGGAGATCTCTGGGAGATTTTCACCATTTGATATTACGTGGAGCTGGGAGGTCTCTTGTCGACCAGTGTCCTGAACTTGGCTCTCCCACCTCAGTGGCACAGCCCTGACTCCTGGCTGGAGCATCAAGAGCCTGTCCTCCACATGGCTCACAATAAAAGGGAGGAAAAAAAAAAAGAAAGAAAGAAGAAGATAAAATAAAATGAAGCAATGTAAAATAAAATAAAGTTATTAAAATAAAAAGTAAAAAATAATTAAGAAGAAGAAATTTTTTAAAGTAATAATAAAAAAAATGGACAGAGCCCTAGGACAAATGGTAAAAGCGAAGCTATACAGACAAAATCACACACAGAAGTATACACACTCACAAAAAGAGAAAAAGGGAAAAAAGTATATACATCGTTACTCCCAAAATCCACCTCCTCAATTTGGGATGATTTGTTGTCTATTCACCTATTCCACAGATGCAGGGTACATCAAGTTGATTGTGGAGATTTAATCCGCTGCTCCTGAGGCTCCTGGGAGAGATTTCCCTTTCTCTTTGTTTGCACAGCTCCCGGGGTTCAGCTTTAGATTTGGACCCGCCTCTGCGTGTAGGTTGCTCGAGAACGTATGTACTTCTCTCAGACAGGACGGGGTTAAAGGAGCCGCCGATTCGGGGACTCTGGCTCACTCAGGTCGGGGGGAGGGATGGGTACGGATGCAGAGTGAGCCTGTGGCGGCAGAGGCCGGCGTGACGTTGCACCAGCCAGAGGCGCACCGTGCGTTCTCCCGGGGAAGTTGTCCCTGGATCCCAGGACCCTGGCAGTGGCGGGCTGCACAGGCTCCCCGGGAGGGGAGGTGTGGCGAGTGACCTGTGCTCGCACACAGGCTTCTTTGTCGCTTCAGCAGCAGCCTTAGCATCTCATGCCTGTCTCTGGGGTCCGCGCTGAAACCCGCGGCTGGCGCCCGTCTCTGGAGCTCCTTTAAGTGGCGCTTTTAATCTCCTCTCCTCGCGCACCAGGAAACAAAGAGGCAAGAAAAAGTCTCTTGCCTCTTCGGCAGCTCCAGACCTTTCCCCGGACTCCCTCCCTGCTAGCTGTGGGGCACTAGCCCCTTCAGGCTGTGTTCACGCAGCCAACCCCAGTCCTCTCCCAGGGATCCGATCTCCGAAGCCTGAGCCTCAGCTCCCAGCCCCCACCCGCCCCGGCGGGTGAGCAGACAGGCCTCTCGGGCTGGTGAGTGCTGGTCAGCACTGATCCTCTGTGCGGGAATGTCTCCGCTTTGTCCTCCGCACCCCTGTTGCTGTGATCTCCTCCGTGGCTCCAAAGCTTACCCCCTCCGCCACCTGCGGTCTCCGCCCGCGAAGGGGCTTCCTAGTGTGTGGAAACCTTTCCTCCTTCACTGCTCCTTCCCACTGGTGCAGGTCCCGTCCCTATTCTTTTTTTTTTTTTTTTTTTTGAAGATGTTGGAGGTAGGAGTTTATTAATTTATTTATTTTTGCTGTGTTGGGTCTTCGTTTCTGTGCGAGGGCTTTCTCTAGTTGTGGCAAGCGGGGGCCACTCTTCATCGCGGTGTACAGGCCTCTCACTGTCGCGGCCTCTCTTGTTGCGGAGCACAGGCTCCAGACGTGCAGGCTCAGTAGTTGTGGCTCACGGGCCTAGTTACTCCACGGCATGTGGGATCCTCCCAGACCAGGGCTCGAACCCATGTTGCCTGCATTAGCAGGCAGATTCTCAACCACTGTGCCACCAGGGAAACCCCGTCCCTATTCTTTGTCTCCGTTTTTTCTTTTTTCTTTTGCCCTACTCAGGTATGTGGGGAGTTTCTTGCCTTTTGGGAGGTCTGTGGTCTTCTGCCAGCATTCCGTAGGTGTTCTGTAGGAGCTGTTCCACATGTAGATGTATTTCTGATGTATTTGTGGAGAGGAAGGTGATCTCCGTGTCTTACTCTTCCGCCATGTTGAAACTCCTCCCCCATCCTAGCAGTTTTTAAAGCTCTAAGAGTGTTAGAACTATTATATCTCTATACCCTTTAATATTATGGTATGAAGGTCAACTGAACTAAATCCAACTGACCAAATTGCATAGTTACATACAATTCTACCTTGAAATATAGAAATTCCATTTGTGTAAAAATATATTTAAATAAAATATATTTATTTTATATAAAACACTGCAGCTTAAAAAGATTCATAACCCAATGGCAGAGCCATTCCCAGGGAGGATCAGAATTGTTCAGTTCAGGAGGTCTTGGAGGCTTTTATTTTTGTTTGTTGGTTTGTTTTTGTTTTCAATTCCCATTTATTTTTGGCTTCTTGGAGAGTTATCTGAAAAACAGAGAGGGAAATGTTAACTGGACAGGTCGGAGGAGTGGGCACGAGAAGGAAATATAGGGTTACCCAGAATGGCAGAAATCTAGGTGCCCCAGAGTGGAAAGAGAGAGCAGACATTGAACAAACAACAAATACTTATTGAGCACCTATCATATACCAGGCAGTGTTCTAGAAACCACCCCCCCCACCAAAAAGAAAAAACAAGATAGAGGCAGAAAACACAAATTCTGAGGGAGAAGAAAGGGGCCGTTGAGGAGGAAGGCTGAGGGGAGTGAGAAGCCTGCGGTCGTGGGGACTCGGCCTTAGGCCTCCTCTTCAGCCTCCTCACTGAAATCCTCCTCTTCTGCAGTGGCATCCTGGTACTGCTGGTACTCGGAGATAAGGTCGTTCATGTTGCTCTCAGCCTCGGTGAACTCCATCTCATCCATGCCCTCACCTGTGTACCAGTGGAGGAAAGCCTTCTGGAGGAATATGGCAGTGAACCCCTCTGAGATGCACTTAAACAGCTCCTGGATGGCCGTGCTGTGGCCAGTGAAGGTGAGTGCCCTTATGAGGCCATGGGGTGGGATGTCGCAGACGGCCGTCTTGATGTTGCTGGGGATCCATTCCATGAAGTAGCTGCTGTTCTTGTTCTGCACGTTGAGCATCTGCTCATGCATCTCCTTCATGGACGTCCATCCACGGAAGACAGCAGCCATGGTGAGGTACGGGCCATGGCGGGGGTCACAGGCAGCCATCATGTTCTTGGCATCTAAGACCTGCTGGGTGAGCTCGGGCACAGGGAAGGCCCGATACTGCGGGCTTCCATGGCTGGTCAGAGGGGCAAAGCCAGGCAGGAAGATGTGGAGCCGTGGGAAGGGCACCATGTTGACTGCTAGCTTGTGGAGGTCAGCATTGGGCTGGCCAGGGAAGCAGAGGCAGGTGGTGACACCACTCATGGTGGCTGAGACGAGGTGGTTTAGGTCCCTGTAGGTTGGCATGGTCAGCTTGAGGTTGCAGAAACAGATGTCGTAAAGGGCCTTGTTGTCAATGCAGTAAGTGTCATCAGTGTTCTCTACCAGCTCATGGGTGTTGGCGTTGTAGGGCTCAACCACAGGGCCGGACACTTTGGGTGAGGGCACCACACTGACGGTGTTCAAGATGTGGTCAGGATATTCTTTACAGGTCTTGCTGATGAGCAAGGTGCCCATTCCAGAGCCCATGCCCCCTCCCAGCGAGTGGGTCAGTTGGAAGCCCTGCTGGCAGTCACAGCTCTCGGCCTCCTTCCGAACCACATCCAGGACCGAGTCAGCCAGCTTGGCCCCCTCTGTATAGTGGCCCTTGGCCCAGCTGTTGCTTGCCTCCGACTGACTAAAAACAAAGTTGTCTGGTCTGAAGATCTGACCTAAAGGACCTGAGTGAACAGAGTCCATGGTCCCTGGTTCTAGATCCACCAAGATAGCACGAGGAACAAATTTGCCACCTGTGGCTTCACTGTAGTACACGGAGATGCGGTCCAGCTGCAGGTTGCTAGTCCCATGATAGGTGCTGGTGGGGTCAATGCCATGTTCATCACTAATCACCTTCCAGAACTTGGCACCGATTTGACTGCCACACTGACTGGCCTGGATGTGCACAAATTCCCTCACTGTTAAAATTTACTATAATCTTTTTGCTCACTTCAAAGTGTGTACGGGGCAAGAAAATGGTATGTAATTAGTTTTTCTCTGCTGCTGATCGCAGGCTGGAAGGATGGGATGGGTCCTGGAGGCTGGAACAGTGAGCTCCTAATGTGGCGGCAGGAAGGTTCTGAGAGAGCTTGGAGGCTTTTGCGTAAAGGCTATGATTTTATTGATAATTTTGCCTGTGTCATAACCTAAGAGGGTTAATATAGGGCTTTTTTAATTTTTAGGAAACACAAAGATATACTTTATGTCTCACTGCAAAGATAATTTGTTTGGCAGCAATATTGATTACCACTTAAGTGAGAAACTAGGTTTGTTCCAAAAGGATTTCATAGCACAAGCTTGGGAATGTTCCCCCCTCCCCCCTCCTTTTTTGTATGAAGAAAGAAAAAAAAATCATTCTCAAAGTCACTTCAAATGTAAGTTACCAGTTTAAAAATGATCAAGGAAAGAAGAAAACATGTTGAAGAGCACTGTGACTGTCTTGAATCACATTTCTAAGGGCATGACACCAGTGACATGATTGCTTACTTTTCGTGTTATTAGACTACGATGGGAAATAACCACTGAATTCTGACTGAGATAAGCCATCAAAAAGTTAAGTGTTTCCCATATCAAACTGTCAGCTAAAGCATCTTATTTATCTCCTGCTTCTTCCTTTGGGAGACCAAATGTAGGTGAGTGAGAGGGTGACATTGGAAGAGACTTGACCTGGTCTAACCTTTCAAGGCTGAGCAGTTTCACGTTTTCTGCTAATTACAAGACACCTTCAAATAATTTTTGCATCTTTTTTCCAGATTTATTGAGATACAATTGACATATAATATTGTGTAAGTTTAGGATGTACAACATAATGATTTGATATATGTATACATTGGGAAATGTTTCCCACTATCAGATTAGTTAACCCATCCATCAACTCACATAATTACAATTTTGTGTGTGTGTAGTGAGAGTGTTCAAGATCTACTCTCTTAACAACTTTCAAGTATATAATACAGTATCGTTAACTACAGTCATCATGCTGTACCTTACATCCTCAGGATGTATTTGTCTTATAACTAGAAGTTTATGCACTTTGACTGTCTTCACTCGTTCTCAGCCTGCACCCCCAGCTCCAGAAACCACCATCTATTCTGTTTCTATAATTTTTTTTTAGATTCCACATATAAGTTAGATCATATGATATTTGTCTTTCTGTCACTTATTTCACAAATAATATCCCAAATTTGCTTCTATCATTCATTTTTTTTCTAATGAATACATGGATGTTGTGGGAATAGCATTCTAGATGTTAATATATTAATATTTTTCTCTGATTCCTTTCCTATTCCATCAGCCTGTTTTGTTGGACACTGGGAGGTGACTAAAAGGGAACATTAGAAAAAATAAGAAAACCTGACAAGGAGATGTTTACAATAAAGCCAAGGAAAGTAGGGACAATCACAGTAGCAAAATTTAATTCTTAACACAATCAAGGAAAAATAATTCTGAAAATGGCAAATTTCTCCTTGCTGTAGATATGGCTCTCAGGAAGGATATACTGGGCACTTACGGCACGTAGAAGGACTGAGTTTGGTCTTGAAGTTTACTTGACTAGGTCATCTTTCTTTCTACCCAGGTGTCTTTCAGTGAAAGGAGAGAATGGCTTTCAGGCCTCATGCTATTTCTTCCCATTCTATAATTTTTAGATTTAATCAGCATTTTAAACCTTCACCAAAAAGGAAACTCCATACTTAAATGGTCTTATTGGCAAATCCTGCCAAATATAAAAAGAAAAAATAATGCTAATCTGACACAAAGTCTTCCAGAGAATAAAAAAAGACTAACTGCACTTCAGTATGTTTATGAGGCCAGTATAACCTTAATGCCAAAACCTGAGAAGGTTGGTATAAGGCAAATATCAGGCCAATCTCATCCATGAACATTGCTAACATTGTTTTAGGATTTTGTTATCTAACTAAATCTGGCAATATATGAAAAGGATATTATATCATGATCAAATAGATTTTAACCCAGAAATCAAAGTTTGGTTTAACATTTGCAAGTCAATTAGTGTGATTTACCACATTAACAGGATAAAAGAGAAAAATAGATACAGAAAAATAATTTGATAAAGTTCAACATCTCTTCATGATAAAAAACTTCAGCAAACTAGGAATAGAGGGAAACTTCCTTAATCTGGTTATGGACATCTGCAAAAAGCATACAGCAAGCATCATACTTAAAGCAGAACTGCTGAAAGCTTTCCTCTGGACTAGGAATGAGACAGGAAAACCTTACAGAAGTAAGGTTCTGTAGGCAAAGAAAAATTAAAAGCTACAAGGATTCAAAAGAAAGAAATGGAAATGTTGTTATTCTTATACAATGTAATTGCATACATTGAAAATCCAAAACAGTCTACATATATGTAGTTAATAAGTTTAGCAAGTTTCGTGGGTACAAGTTCAACATATAAATTTTTATATAGTTCTATATAACAGAATAAAGTGATTATTTGTGGTGGCATTAAAAATATAAAACTCTTGGATATATATTTAATGAAAGATACGTAAGGCATCTACACACAAATCTGTAAAGCATTATTGATAGAAATTAAAGACATAAATCAATAGATGTGTGTACCGTGTTCACTGATTGGAGGATGCAGTATTGCACAGATGTCGGTTCTCCCCTAATTCATTTATAGATTTAAATCACAACCAAAACCTGAATGAGTTTTTCATTGTTATTGCTGTTAAAGTTAACAAGCTGATTCTAAAATTTATGTGGAAATGCAAAGGGCTAAGAATATCCAAAATACTCTTAAAGCAGAAGAAAAACATGGACAACTTGTACTACTGAATATCTGGGCTGAAAGCCAAAATAATTGGCAATAGATCAGTGGAACAGAACAGAGAATTTAGAACTAGACACACACAAACATGAGCTCTTGATTTATGATAAAAGTTGCAGTATAGAAGAGAAGTGGAAAGATGGTCTTTTCAATAGATGGAGCCAGGTCAGCTGGCTCTTCACAAGGGAAAAAAATGAAACTTGACCCCTATTTTGCACCGTAATTAAGTCCAGTTGGATAGTAGAGCTAAATATAAGTAGTAAACTAATAAAATGTCTAGAAGGTAACATAACACAAGATCTTCATGATCTTTCCATGTGGAAAGATTTCTCAATAAGAGACAAAAAGCATTAACCATAAATGAAAATATTAATAAATCAGACTACATTAAAGTTAAGAAATTGTAATCATCAGAAGACACTATTGAAGAAAGTGAAAGGTAAACCACATAGTATGAGAAGACATTTGCAATACATGCAGTTGACAAAAGTCTCATTCCCAAAATATAGAAGGAATTTCTAGAAATCAGGGAGAAAAAAAGACACAGACAATTCAATAGAAGAATGCATTCTTGAAAAGGTACTTCACAAAGACCATCTCCAAACGGTCAATAAACATATGAAAAGATGTTCAACTTTAAGTCATCAGAAAAATGTAAATTAAATCCCCTCTGAGATATCACTACATATTCAATAAAATGGCTAAAATTTACAAAGACTGATGCAGAGCGCTTGGAACACTTTATACCCAACTGGTAAGAGTTAAAGTTGATAAAATGCACTTTAGGAAATTGCTTAACATTATCTACTAAAATTGTATGTATCCATAACTAATTACCTAATGTCCAATTCTACTTCTAGCAATAAGACCAATAGATATTGACACAAAAATACATGTTTAAGAATGTTCAGGGTACCATTATTCAAAATAGCCACAAGCTGGGAACAACCAATACTTGACAACAGTAAGAAGGGTAAACAAATTATGCATATTTATACACTCAAACACTATCCTGCAATAAACTCTCATGAACTTCAATTACATGTAACAACATGAATCGATTTCAAGAGAAGAGGACAGACCCACAAAAAATATATACTGTTGATTCCATTTATGTAAAGATTGAAAATAGGTAAACTAATGGTATTAGAAGTCAGGTTAGTAGTTACCCTTAGGGAGGAGGAGACATGAGTGGACTTCTCTTCCTCGACCTTAGTGATGTTTACATAATTGTGTTTGCTTTGTGATAATACATGGATTGACGTGTGTATACATGTTATTCAGACTCTGAACCAATTCTCTCCAATGCCGCTGCTAACGCCTGGGTCCAAGCCACCACCATTACCATCATTTTTCACCTGACTTGCTGCAGTAGTTTCTTGATTTTTTTTTTCTCTGCTTCTACTCTTGATCCACTTTAATGTGTTCTCAACACAGTAATCAGAATATTCTCTTTAAAAATAAGTCAAGTTATATCACTCTGCTGTTCAAAATCCTGCAATGGCTCCATGTTTCACACAGTGAAAAAGCCGAAGTCCTTACCACCCGCCTGCGAGAACCTGCATTATATGGTCTGGTCCTCAGTTCCCTCTGTGTAGTCGTCTCCAACTCCTAACCCCCAGCTTGCCCAACTCCTCTGTCTCCCCACTATTCCACGTTGCCCACTCTGGCCTTTTTGCAGTTCCTGGAACACCAGCATGCTCCTTCCTCAGGACCTTTGCAGTGTTGTTTGTCTAGTCCGGCGTATTCTTTCTCGAGAGACCTGTGGGCTAACTCTCTCCCTCCAAGTCTCTTGCAGATGTGACGTGTTACCCTTACTGCCCTGTTTAAAATGTTACCTTGTCCCAGCCCAATTAGAGCTCCCAGTTCTCCTAACCCTGCCTTCATTCTTAGTTTTTACAACACATATATCTCTCTAACGTACTATATTATCCTTTTATTTTTCATCCTTTTATTTTTCATCCTTATCATTAATTTTCTTTCCTTGCTAGAGATAGAACAACACATTTATTTTCTGTCACTTCCTTCAGGGACCCTTGTTTCATTCACTGATACATCTCAAGCAGTTAGAATACTGTAGGTGCTCAACAGATATTTGTGGAATGGATGAATGAGCGTATTGAATGTCTAACATGTGACAGGAATTCTACTAGGCGCTGGGGGTGTAATGATAAGCAAAACCAGAAACAGTTGCTGCTCTCATAGAGTGTTTGCCAATCTGAGAGACAGTTATCATATACCATAAACAAATGCTTAGTTACAAAGTGTAATTAGAGCTAAACATGCCGTGAGAATGATCACTGAGGAATCAATCTTGGTCTGAAGGTGGGTCAGGGAAGACTTCCAAGAGACAGTGTTGTTTGAGCTGAGATATGACGAAGATGGGTAAGTGATTCTTGAGGTAAGGCCCAGGTCTGGACATTGTTAATAAAACTCCCCAGATCTTTCTAATGTACAGGCAGCATGGAGAACCATTCTATACCGGGGCTTCTAAACCAACTATAATGTATGTACAGATCACTTGGGGATCTTGTTGAAGTTCAGAAGCTGCCTCAGAAGGTCAGGTGTGGGCGCTGAGATGCTGTAGTCCTGTTGCGCTCCTGGGCATGCAGATGCTGCTGCTCTGCAGACGACATATTGACAAGCAAGCCTCTAGCCTCTGGCCCTACAGCACCTTCTCACGACGATAGTGTTTTCTAAATTATCAGCTGATTGAGTCCTCCCTCTTTGCTTCCTCTCTATGGACTACACATCCTGAGAATCTAAATATTTCAGCTCAGCAATGTGCATGTTGTTCAGCCACGTCCAGACGGGCTGGGTCCTCACAAAGGACAGGGATTGTGTTCAGGTCATCCTTGTGTCCTCTGCCTAATCCACTGTGGCCGTGATAAATGCTCAGTTAATTTCTATTAAACAGTACTGTCTCTGTCCAGGCAAGTCCTTTTCTTGACGTGTTATATGCATAAAGGATGATTTAAATTATCCTTTGAAATGCACCATTCATTTTCACCTTGCCATGAATATAAATGACAACATTTATATTTACAATATGCCTGGTCAAACACATGTTCATGAGAAAAAATAAACACAATAAATGTAAAAACACATCATAAATTATGGAATGTTATAGAATTTTGAATATTACCATTATTATTGTAATAATAGAAAATGTATATTTTAACATTATTTATAAGCAACATTTATATTTTTAACTGAGCTTCATGGTATTTTTAAGAACTATGGGGAGAAGTTGAGTTCTTAAAAATAGGATACTATGGCAAGTTTATTAGATAAGAATATATAATTTTACCATGGAATGTATGGTTAATTTTTTTCTTTTTTTTTTTGAGATGTGTGCTAACTTTACAGGTTTGTTGCAAGCTTTTTAAAATTTATTTAGTTAGTTAGTTTTGGCTGTGTTGAGTCTTTGTTGCTGCGCACCGGCTTTCTCTAGTTGCGGCGAGCAGGGGCTACTCTTCGTTGCGGTGTGCGGGCTTCTCATTGAGGTGGCTTCTCTTGTTGCGGAGCGCGGGTTCTAGGCGCATGGGCTTCAGTAGTTGTGGCTCGCGGGCTCAGTAGTTGTGGCTTGTAGGCTCTAGAGTGCAGGCTCAGTAGTTGTGGTGCACGGGCTTAGTTGCTCCGTGGCATGTGGGATCTTCCCGGACCGGGGCTCGAACCCATATCCTCTGCATTGGCACGCGGATTCTTAACCACTGTGCCACCAGGGAAGTCCCAGTTGCAAGCTTTTAATAGCAGGGATTTTAATAACTAATTTTGAATTAGCAATTATTTAGCACCTATTATTGGGTCTTGAGTTCACAGGAATGTTAAGGACCTATGGTAATGGTTAGGAAAATGGTCAAGGGTATATCAGAACACTGATGTTTACCTTATGTGGAAGGGATAATGCTCCCATGAGAAATCTGATCTATTTTGGCCAAAGCCTCATACACTGATTTTCTATTTAAATCATAAATCCAATGAACTGATACTGTAAAATTAAAACAACAACAGAGGTAACACTTATCAAGCGCTATTCTAGGCACTTCACAAGTATTAACTCATTTAAAAGGTAATTATTATTATTAGCCCAATTTTACAAGCTAGACCCTGAGGCTCAGAGAGGCTGATATTGAAAGTTATCTCCTCCTAGGAGGAAAGCATGTTTGAGACACCACAATAAAATTTGAATATTTCAGAGAGCCATGGAATGGAGGGGAAAAAAAGCAGCTCTGGAATCTGACAGATTCACATGAGAATCCTGGTTCTGCCATGAATTCCGTGTAAATTCTTGGGCAAATCACTTAACCTTTCAGGACCACAGTTCTCTCATATACAAAATGGGATAAAATCATGTAGCATACTTATTTTCCTTATGCCTCTTCTACCCAACTAAGCTAGAAAGTGGGTATCAAGACCAACAGACTGAGACCTGTCATCATAATAGGTATCCTTCTAATGCCAACATTATCAAATTAGGCAACAATCTTGCTTCTCTCCCTTTCTTCCTACCTACCTGAGTAACTTACCATTTGTTATATACCTGTTTCATGCCAAATGCTTTACATACATACACTAAGCTTTTTTTTTTTTAGATTTCTTCTTTTTTCCCCCCGTTATTTTTCCCCAACAGTTCCGTGAAAGATGTATTGGCAACCCTAAATTACAGAGGAGGTAGGCAGGGGTCTGGTCTAGGTTGTCATTGCAAGTCATGCATGAGTGCTTGGACTACATACTTTAAGTGGTAAGAAACTAGGACAATGTTAATTTCAGCATGGGAGGGACATGTTTGTTTATACGTTTTAGATATATCACTTGGGGATTAGTAAGGAGAAGGGATTTGGAGACGGTGTTAATATTAAAGTTGGGATGGCTCATAGGAAGGCAACAACCACAACCACAACCACGGCTGCTGTTTATAAGATGTGTCAGCAACTGTGCCAAGTACTTTCCGTGTAGAGCCTCACAGCAACTCAATGAGGAAAACAGTGTTTAACTCCATTTAACATATAATAAAATTGAAGCCCACGGACATCAAATAACTACACCTCCATACTTTTGAGTTGACATCCAAATTTTTCTTCACGTGATTAATAGATTCAAATATGTAGTTTCTTGCATATTGTAAAACAGTTAGCTTAAAATAAATATTTAATACCCATTATGCTGCATTTAAACAATATATGAATATGGATGAACTTCACAAACATACTGAATAAAAGGCAACAGAAAAAAAGCACATACCGTAAGATTTCATTTATATAAATTTCAAAAACAAGCACATCTTAGTTAGGATTTTGGAAACAAGGATAGTGGTTAACTTTGGGTGTCAGGGTGGGGGAGTACCAGCTGTTTGGGGAGTGCTGGTAATGTTCTTATCTTAATCTGGCTGGGTGCTGTTTTACATAATCACTTTGTGAAAATTTACTGAACTACCCTTAAGATTTTTATACTTCTCTGAATATATGCTGAAGAGATGCTATACCTAGATTAAAATTAAAGAAAAATCTCATGAATAATCTTCTCTTTACTTCCATTTTCTATTATTTCTTTACCTCCTTTTAAAAAATATATTTATTTATTTATTTTTGGCTGCTTTGGGTCTTCGTTGCTGCACGTGGGCTTTCTCTAGTTGCGGTGAGCGGGGGCTACTCTTGCAGTGCATGGGCTTCTCATTGCCGTGGCTTCTCTTGTTGTGGAGCACGGGCTTTGGGTGGGCGGGCTTCAGTAGTTGTGGCACGTGGGCTCAGTAGTTGTGGCTCGCGGGCTCTAGAGCACAGGCTCAGTAGTTGCGGCGCACAGGCTTAGTTACACAGCAGCATGTGGGATCTTCCCGGAGCAGGGCTTGAACACGTGTTCCCTGCATTGGCAGACAGATTCTTAACCACTGTGCCACCAGGGAAGCTCTTCTTTACCTCTTTGAACCTATATTTCTTTTGCTTTAAATTTTTATTTTATATTGGAGTGTAGTTGATTAACAGTGTTGTGTTAGTTTCAGGTGTACACCAAAGCGATTACGTTTTACATACACATGTATCTATTCTTTTTCAAATTCTTCTCCCATTTAGGTTATTACAGAGTATTGAACAGAGTTCCCTGTGCTATACAGTAGGTCCTTGTTGGTTATCTATTTTAAATATAGCAGTGTGTACATGTCAATCCCAAACTCCCAATCTCTCCCCGTCAGCCTTCCCCCCCGGGGAAGTTCGTTCTCTAAGTCTGTGAGTCTGTTTCTGTTGTGTAAATAAGTTCATTTGTATCATTTTTTTAGATTCCTCATATGTGATATCATATGATATTTGTCTTTCTCTGCCTGACTTACTTAGTATGATAATCCATAGGTCCATCCATGTTGCTGCAAATGGCATTATTTCATTCTTTTTAATGGCTGAGTAATATTCCATTGTATATATGTACCACTTGTATTTCTATTCAATTTTCCTCGTAGAATTTATCCTAATTGAAATTAAAAATTTGATTATTTTGTAACCACAATGCTCTAAGTCTTATTTTTTTCTTCAGGATTGAGTTATCCTTAAGATTTTTTTTTATTACTACACAATTGGTAATAAATATATTTTACATTTTGATATAAAATTATTAAACATTAGAAGTAAATGTTATTAGAAATGCATTTTAAAATCAGGTGGATAGCTTTTACTTGGGGGTGAGTACTTGGAATAAAAGACGGTTCAATATCAATTCTATTCCCACTGTGGTTGTGAGCATATGGAATGGATCAGAAGGCCTGAAAAGGAATGAACAGAATTTGTTTATTTTTCATAACAATTGCTCACAATTATTTGAATTCACTCTGAGTTGGATACCAAAAACCAAAGTAATATGTCACCAGAAATTATTTTTAATAATCTGTCATCATGAAAAGATCTTCTTCAATTTTGCTGAGAGCAGAGAATTGTGAAAGAATTTATAAAATAATGTTTATATTTATTCAGCTTCTGAATTTCTGGTCAGCATAACAAAACGTTTCCCTGAGACTCATCAAGTAACTATTAATTGTACCTGTTTCTCCTTCATTTAAAGGCACTTTTTAAAAACTACTGATGTATTCAAAAATTGTTGGGAACATTGAAACACTGTTAATTTCAATATATTTTTGCCAATACAGTAATTTTTTGGTAAACTGCATTTATTGTATCACATGCTTTAAATATTTTTTCATCGAAACTTTGGAACTACATCTTTAACTCATTCAAATTATAGAATACATCTGTCACATAACCAAATAGGCAAGGCCAGTTTTCATTATCAAACCAATTGAGTCAGTTAGGCTTACTTTCTCTCAGACAAATCTGACCTCATTTATCAATTCAAATAAATGTGTTAGTACACATTCCCTGACATCTCACTTCTTCATGCTCATTTTCAGATAGACAAGTCATAGAGCCTTACTAAGAGTTTGTTGCCTAAATGAAGAAACTTTCTACTACTTTTAGTATTTCTTACCTGTACACTCTATGCTTTATTCTCTTAGGCTCTTCTTTGATGGTGATGCATTTTTTGGTAAATAGGTGAGTGATGGAAGAGATGAAGTCCTTAAACTCATTATCACTCTCTCTGCTGCACTGTGTAAAACATCAAAATCCATTACTTCCCTACAGAAGCCAAAGCCACCTATTTCTATACCACACTTGGCTTTTAACAGAAATAAGTGTAAGATAAAGAAAAACATGAGGCCTAGTAAAGATGAAGTCTTGGTTAAAGGAGGCTTTAGGACCCATATTTTTGAATTTTGTCTTTGTGGCCCTGGGGTTTTTTAATATCTCAAGGCATTGCAATACAGTAAAATTAGGAGCGAGAGAGATTTTATTTACCT